CTATGGTCTTGCACAAAAATTGATTACGCGCGCAAAGAGTATAAACACCTCCGAGACCAAACGACGGGCGGCGCCGCGGCAACGCCCCCTCGTAAAGACGGCAGTTGGGTCGGCGGCCGGAGGGCGCCGAGCCGCCGGTTGGGCCCCGCCGTGCCGCCCGGTGCCAGTAGTTCGTTTCGTTAAAAACAAATAAAAGGGTTCGCGAATTCCTGCCGCAATAATAGGGCCTTCCTGCTGCACCGCGCCCTTCCGTGTCGGGCCCGTCTGGTTCCGTTTAACTGCATAAATTGCAATAAACCGCGCCGCTAGGCTGGCGATGTCGCGTGCGTGTCCGCAGAGCCCCCAGGGTGCCCGACCTCACCCCGCGCCGCCCCACCAAACCCCACCACACCCCGCCACGGCCCACCACGCCCCACAGTGCCCCGCCACGCCATTATTGCCAAGGGGAGGAGACAGCCGTCGACAGGTCGTCGAGGTGCGGCTGGCTGGTGGAGACACGGAGCCACGCGGCTCGTCCAGGACACCGTCCTCAACGATTGCCGGTCGCGAAGTTTAAAAGAAAAAACTAAAGCAAGCCCAGCGGTGTACGCTATTCCTCCTTAATGATGCTATCCCCCCTCCCCCCCTCCTCCTCCTCGTCGGTTTTCCCTTTTGCAAAGCCCTTCATAGCCTTCGGATAGCCAGCGCCGCTGCGCAGAGGCGATCCCTCCTGCCTGCTCTGCTGCTTGACCATGCCAGTTAAACGGACGCGATTGAAAGGCAGAGATATATATGTATATACGAATGTGGGGCAGAGCCGGAGCGGAGCGGATCGCACTTGTAGGCTTCATTTCCAGTATGCGGCGGAGCCTTGGCGGGGCGTGGCGGGGCGTGGCGGGGCGTGGCGGGCTCACATCAGCCCTGTGTCGGCCGCTCGTTCGAGGCGATTGGCTCCCGCCTTGCTCCCCCCGCGCTCACGCTCGCGCGCGCTCAAATTTCACGCGGCTCATGTCGCTCATGTCGCGCTCGGTGCGTGGCGTGCGCGCTCAGCCCCGCTCAGCCCCGCTCAGCCCCGCTCAGCCGGGGGGTGAAAGCGCTGCGGCCGGCATAAAGCAATCGGCTGACGGGGCGGAACCTGCGGGAGGGCGCACTAAAAACTAGAGACTCTGCCCAACGTAACGCAAGGCACGCGCACGCGCGTGCGAAAGTATTATCCATATGATACGTACAGTGTTGTTTGTAGAACATAAACATAACAAACGAAATATATTTCCTACGTAACAAACGGCCAGTCTTGCTTGATTAAATCCAGTTGTAGTACGCGAACTATGGTCTGTAGAAATCCTCTGTGGGGCGAAGTAATTATTGAAAAAATTGGTTCGTAGGGCAGATGGAGCGGCCAATGCGAGGATATTGCCCGTCCTTTGTGCTGCTTTGGGTGGAGACTACTATCCTACCTCCGTACCATCGAACGCACTGAGAATAGCAAGGTGTGTGTCGTGTGCGTACGCTATGTTAACCCCCCCCCCACACACACACACACATCTGCCGAGAGCAGGGCACGTCCACTGCCGCGGGATGTTATCCTTTTACACGGTGAAACGCCGCGCGCGGAGCGAGTGAGTTTACAGACACAGAGAAAGACAGAGAGAGAGAGATACAGACAGAGAAGACTCACACATGCACACCACACATACCTACAGGCATGTGACATGTACCTACGCGGTCTTGCTACTTGGTATACTATGGCACGGGGCGACTTTTAGGTTATGTGCATCTGCATATTTAGAGCGATGCCATAAAATTTAGCAAAGCAAAAATACTACTGCTATTCCTGCTGGGAGGAAAGCCTTTACTCTCATTACGTCGGTACTCACCCTCTGTCGGTCTGCGGAGGTCGGCGTACACGATACGGGGCTCTTTGCTCTGCGACGGCGTGAGTCCTGCAGAGCACAGAGGGACGCATCAGCGACTGCGCGAGCGTGCGAGCGAGCGAGTGTGTGAGTGTGTCCAAGAAAACAACACGCCTTGCTCCTTGGGCCGGGGCCGACCCGTCCGCGTGTGAGCGTCATCACGCCGCAGAGAATCGGTTTCCATCCATCCTCCACCTCTGTCCTATCCTCACAAAAACGAAAATGACACACACACGCAAAGAAAGTGGCGTTCAAATCATTTGGAGAGTAGCAGTTCGGATTCCAAACACGACACTTGTCCGGTCCTCAGCTATGCGGACACTGGTTATTAGCGTCGTGTGTGTGTGTGTGTGTGTGTGCGTGTGTCGCCCTCGGAGAGGTGTCCGTCGGTACGTTCAGAGGCCGGGCAGATGCGTACAAACGCATCGCGTGACGGAGCGGGCCGCGCAACACATTCCTCGCCGAGCCTGCAGAGAGGGGTCCGGATGTGCCGACGACGACGACGGCAACCTCTCGAAACCATCCCGTCCGAAAATAGGGGAAATTTAAGACGATTGCCGCGCGGACTGCGCGCGAGCAAAAGGGGCATTGTAGAGATGCCCGCGCGAAGCTGTGGGGACGACAAGGCAGTCGGGCCGGTGCCGCGAGACGACGTGTCGTGTCCGGGCTGTCGGCGGCCGAGCGGCGGGCAGCCGCAGTAGCCATGTGGAGAGTACCGGCTCTTAATGACCATAGCAAAGTAAGCAGACCTGGTCGCGCGGGGCGGGGCGGGCCGGGGCGGCCCTTCGACGACTGCATTGTGGAGTAGGAAAACTGACGGACGGCCTGCTGACGAGAGCGGAACCCGTCCCGCGGCCGGTGTGTCGACCGTGTCCCGGGCCGTGTCCTGAACCCATGTCCGGGACTGCCCGCTTGTTGTGGGGCAGCAGCAGCAGCAGCAGCAGCAGCAGCAGCAGCAGCAGCAGCAGCAGCAGCGCCGGCGGGGCCGATGCCGATCCACGCACCCCTCGGAGCCAAGAGGCAACTAACTGTCCGACTGCCGTTCGGTCACATGCGGTCGCATGCGTCCGCGCACAGGCCCCTCATGACAACTGCTCGCCTTCTTGGCGGCGTCTCGTGGCGCTCTGGCACCTCATGACGGCGACCGGCCGACCGCCCGAGGAGACGGATCGTCAGGCCTCGTCAGCGTCATACCAACGCGGCGCCGCCATTCCGGAAGGCTCCGCACACACACGCGGCCCGCTGTCGGAACGCCTGCGAGATCCCGCTCGGCAGCCCGCCCGCGCGCGTGCTGAGCTGACGGCCTACCCGGCAGCCGCGCAGGCGCCCGCCGTGCTGAGCTAGGCTGAGCCACGCTCAGTCATGCGCAGCCACGCTCAGTCATGCACAGCCACGCTCAGCCATGCTCGGCCATGCTCAGCTCTCCCGCCGTTTCCGCGTAACTCAGCTCGACGCGGCGTCAATTAGATGGTCGTTACAGAGGCCGGGCCCGAGCCGCGGGCGCGGGGTTACGCACCTCCGCGCCCCAAATGACTCCTTTACGGACGCGGCGGGCGCGTAGCTCCGCGGTGTGAGTTGCGTCAAACAGCGAGGGTGCAGTAATGAGATCCAGCACTGCACAGCAGCACTGCAGCCCGGGCCAGCGCAGTGCAACGCCTCACGCCTTGCAGCAGAGGCGCCCCCCCCCCCTCCCCCGCCCCTG